ATTTTTAAAGATGTTAAAGACATTTGCAAAAAATAAAATAAGAAAAAAAAAAATCGCTAGAAAATCGCTATAGAGCTAGCTAGTCGCTAGCTCATTTCCCACCGGGTCCTGTCCCAATCTAACCTAGTGGGTTCAAAAAGAAAGGACTGCGCTGGAAACAGGAGGGGGTTAAAAGGATTAGCCCTTTTTGAACTAATAGTCGGTAAGTCAAATGTTATTTCACTCAGCTAATCAAGTTTCATTTACTTTTTTGTATTACATTCAAGCAATAGACTGTTTTTTTATGTTCACTCGTTTTTTAGAAGTCGTAACCAGTTAGAAGTCGTAACCAGCTCGTATGAAAGGATTTCTCGACGTGAAATAGTTAGTTTTATTCAACAACTCCAAGAAACATAGCTCGCTCAAGAAACAGGAAAGAAAGAGAAAGATGAAAAAATATTCTGTTGAACAATACTGTTGTTTTATTTATAAATTATTCTCCTATATTTAAACATATAAAAGATGTAGAAAATGCTTTCTCTTTTATATTGACATCTAAAAGAGGTTTTTTTCTCGGCATCGGAAAGAGCTTTTTGTCATACTTTGTATGAAGAGCTATTATCATTTTCATTTGATAAAAACAGCTTTTCATATATGAAAAGTAGGAATACTATAGTGTATAGGATACTATAGTATACTAAAAAGTATGACAAAAAAGTCGTTCGGACCCCGAGCAAAAAAACGTTTTTAGAAGTGCATAATTGATAAACAAAGACGTCTTAAAGACGCATTTTTTATGTCTTTTCATGACAAGAAAAGACAGAAAAGACAAAAAAGACGCCTTTTCGATGTCTAAAAAAGATGTCTTTTAGATTTTCATATTCGGCTAAAAAAAGAGGTCTTAAAGACGCATATATTATGCCTTTTCATGACAAGATTAAGATAAAACTCCCATTGGAGTTCGGCAGTGTTCAACAAATAATTATTTAGGTATAGAGTTGCTATAAAACTGCACTCATTCGGCTCGGCATAGACTCGGCAAGACCAATTTTTGGAAATCGTCCAGAGCAATTAGTTTTTTTGAAAATACGAAAACGCCAGAAAGGTTTCGAAAAAGAAAAAAGAAAAATCCTACTTTTTTGACAACCTTTGAGGAAAATTTTTTGTGTACGACTTTCTCGAAATCTGCTGTTTATTTCTAAAAATTTATCGCAATTAGAATTTTTTGCCAAATACTAAAAAATAAAACTTCAACTAAATAGAACCAAATTAACTAAATGTGGCTGATCATATAAGCGAGTTTATAAAGTAACTACAAGACAATAATTCCTAATGACATGGAAAAAAATGAAGCTCCTGTAACACAAATGATTTGTTACAAAAGGATCATCTGGAAATTGTGTAGTTTGTATTGGAATCTTACACTAAAATTGTATGAAATTTGATTTCAAGCAACTTATTTTTAAGCTTGTAAACGACATAAATAATAACGACATAAACGCATGATAATTAAATGCCAACGATTTTTTCGACTAGATTTTGTTTTGGATTTAGATCTACTCTATATTAACAACATTGAAAAAAAAATGGTTGAAACAATAGATGAACAGATTATAAATTAATATTGTGCAAAGCAATATACAAGCATATGTGAAATTCTTATCTTATCCCAAATAAAAGATTTAAAATAAATAAAATTTATTTTAAAAAAATTCTTGCGTAACATTAATTAAACTTGAAAAAAAAAAAACCTTTTTCCATCTTTCAGATGAAAACGACCAAGACACGATCTTGGTGTATAAATTTTAATCTGAGATAAAGAAAAGATAAAGAAAAAGAAAAATCCTATTTTTTTGACAACCTTTGAGAAAAATTTATTGTGTACAAGATAATTAACTATTTAGAAAATGATCATTCAATAATAACAAATAATAATTAAAAAGAGCTGAAATTTTTTACTTTTTATTGTACATATATTTATATTATGCTTATAGTATGTATATATAATTTTTTATTTTGTTTTTATTGTTAGTAACGTTTTTTATTAACGTTACCATTTTTAGTTTTATTTTTTAATAAACTTTTTCTACTTTTGTCTCTGTTATTGCTATTATAACAATCATCTTCATTGCTATTATTATTATTATTATTATTATTATTGTTATTATCCCCCTCCCTGCCTTTTAAGATCTCCCGAAGAGATCTTAAAAAGTGGAGAGAGGGAAGGTAGTCGACGTATTTGTTTTTTGCCAATTAAGGCTTTTAAAAAAATATTTGACAACTAATATCTCTAAAAAAAGAAAAGAAAAAAAAAGGTCCTCGTTGGCTAACATTTGCCGACTGCTAACAACAGATCCAATTTTGCCGACTGCAGTGTCCACATTGTGGGTGGTGAAAGGTGGAAGGGCGTAGGCGATTAGACACCCGTGCGCTACAACCGCCTCGATAATGCCCTGATTATTGTTATTATCTCATAGTTAAACATAATTTGTTAACATAATTATTTTGTGTTATTATTGGTTGTTACGCAATTTCCATTTGTAACTCCAAAACATTGTATATGACTATTATAACAGTAAAAACAAGTGACTTATTGTTTTTTTTGTTATAATTGTTATTGCATTCTTTATTATTGTTATCATTATCATTAGATGTCTACTTAGTATTACTTAAAAACTATATTTGAGAATTACAAAAATGTATGAATGATTGGTTGACACATAAAAAAGGTTTTAAGGGTTTTAAAGATCGAGAGAGACTCCTGTTAAAGAGTAATACAAAAACAACAACTACTACAATAAAAACATTAAAATCCATTTTTTGAATAACATTGGTATAGGAAATCAATAACAAGCGCTGAATAGTATCAAAAATGTAGTGCATTTAAGTAGTAAAAGCATTTAATAAGCAATTTGTATACCATATAATACCATTATAAGCAATTTGTATACCATAAATATATGTAAACATAAACATATGTAAAATTTACCAAACATTTACTTATTGTAAAATTAGGCGTCGCCATTTAGATTGCGGAGATAAGAGACAGTGGTAAGTAAATGGTAAGCAGAGGCGCAACAGTCTACATTCATGTACATATTGATTTACAATATGTCACAATATGTACAACCTTGTAGCCAATTTTTATGTTTTTATATTTAAATAATTGAAATTTTTTCAGAGTTTTTTCGTGTTTTTTCAGCATAAACATTTTCAATTTTATTATAATTTATGACTTTCTAGACATTACTACGGCGACCCAATAAATGCAACAAGCTATGTAATATTAAATTAGATAAAATTGATTGGTTTATTATCATATTTAAGTAATGCAATGTGATCACATCTTAATCTTGTATTTTAATTAAAGTTTGAAATACTCCAAGGGTTTAAGGTTGACGCCATTTATATATATATATATATATATATATATATATATATATATATATATATATATATATATATATATATATATATATATATATATATATATATATATATATATATATATATATATATATATATATATATATATATATATATATATATATATATATATATATATATATATATATATATATATATATATATATATATATATATATATATATATAGATATATATAGATATATATATATATATATATATATATATAGATATATATATAAACATATATATATATATATACATATATATATATATATATATATATATATATATATATATATATATATATATATATATATATATATATATATCGATGGTTAAGAGCACAAAGTGAATATGTCCAACATTTTACAGTTTTGAGTTATTGCGCGCCATTTAGTAAGTGATAAGGGTACTATGGTACAAATATTAGGCTTCAACAGTCGACCAACCGGAAGATATTTAACAAAACAAATAGGTGATATAAATAAATATCATGAATTATTGTACGTTTTCAAACTTTCAAATTCAAATTTCTCAAAACAATGGCTAGTGGACGTATTCCCTTTGTGCTCTTAACCATCGATATATATATATATATATATATATATATATATATATATATATATATATATATATATATATATATATATATATATATATATATATATATATATATATATATATATAAACATATATATAAAGTATATATAAAGATTAGTTACTATTATTTTGTTTAATGATTTGTTTAATTTTAAATTTCTAAAAAACCACATAAAATACAACAACAAATATATATATATATATATATATATATATATATATATATATATATATATATATATATATATATATATATATATATATATTTGCTACTTTTTCAGGAATCAGTGTAATTCAGGATAAGGAAGTCTGTTGTTAAATAGTAAAAACTGATTTGGTCTGAACTGCAACTGACTCAAAAGTTATTCCCGTGTGTTGAGATATTTGTTATGAATAGGAACTAATTCAAATTTAAATTTTTTATTGGAGAAATTTTTTTTTAAAAGAGGAACAATTTTGGATTTTGAGAAAAAAACAAAGTTGCATATTTTGCCGCCTCGTGCTTCACAACCAGGCTTATGATTTGCTCTTTGTTTAAGTCTTCTGTTTCTTAAAACAACAATCTGAGCAAATTTTTGAAAATACACAAATAAAAGATAAATTTGAAGTCTAAAAATGACCTATAAACTAATTTGGGGGTAGGGTGTTGCAGCCGTAGCGCTGTTCACGAGCCGTGCAAAAATGCTCAACATCTGTTTAACAAAAAAGCAAAAGAAGATGTGTTATGTAGAATTTTATGTTGATTTTTTTTAAAGTGTACATAAAATTTAACTTAATAAGTTTTTCTATCATAAAAATATTTTTGAATTTATAGAATTAAGTTTTTTTTTATTTTTTATTTTTATTAAAAAAAAAGGTCTTGTTTTTAACCTAAAAAACTGCCAAACTATTTTGCATTAGTTTTTTATTTCCGAAATTAAAAATTTTTATTAATTGCTTTTAGAGATTAGTTTAGAAAACTTTTTTGCTAAAGTAAAAAGTAAATAATCATACCTGCAGCAAAAGAAAGAATGAGATGGTCAGCTGATAAATGAGGAGCAATTTCTCGTAGAACATGTAGCAGTATTTGTGGTTTTACGGCTAAAATTATTAGGTTATTTTCTTTTGCTAGTTTGACGTTGTCTGTTGTTGTTTTGCATCCTAATTTTTGTAACCATTTGATATCACGCTCTGTTGGTGCACTTGACCATATCTCGTGTAACTGGATTGTTCCAGCACTCACAAACCCCTTTGTTAAAGCTTCTACAAGTTTTCCAGCACCAAGAAACGCTATTTGTGGTAGTCGAAATGCGCGATACATTCTTATAGAAACTAAATTAACGTGGTCAGTTTTAGTGATTATTACTAAAGTGTTAGGGGGCTTGTAGTTTTAAATATAAATCTAAAATTATTCTTAATAAAGTTTATTTTTATTTTTCTAAATTATTATTATTTTATTATACAAATTCATTTCGTATTAAATTTTTTTGTACATTATCAAAATATATTAGTGTTATAAAAAGAGTTCTAGAGTATGTAGAAACTTCCCATTAGAATGCAACATTCCTTCATTTATAAAGATAAGTTTTGCGAAAGATTGAAATAAGCGTTTCAATATCTATAAAAGCATTTAGCACTAATGGATGAAAAAATTAATAAATTAACGTTTGAAATGGGATTTAGCAGGGCAGAGGCAATTATGGCTTTAACGGAAACAAATGGCAACATGGATAATGCTATTGAAAACCTTTTACAACGAAAATATGCACCTCCTCCATATTCAAGTATTAATGTATCAAGTAGTGATGGTAATATAGAATGTCCTGGTAAAAATAGTTTTAGTTCTGAAAACTTAAGTAAATCTTCCTCTCAGGAAACTAATTTTTTTCAAGATAATTTTGCTCCTTTGGATTTTATTAGGAATATACCTGCTGAATTTGTTTTACCATGTTTGCCTCCTCCATATCAGAAAGTTGATTTAAAAGATTGGGAAGATGAATCAAAATTGTTTCATATAACTGAAAATACTGAAAGAAACTTGCATACAGATATTTCAAAATATTATCAAAAAAGATGCAATGTTTGTTTTAATGAAATTTTAACATTAGCTGATGATGGCACAAAACATATAGAAGAAATTGTTCAGCATAAAATGAATGTAATATGCAATAAGTTATTATTTTGGTATTTTTTAAGAGAAGTTAGGATTTAAAGTATATATATATATATATATATATATATATATATATATATATATATATATATATATATATATATATATATATATATATATATATATATATTGTTTAACTTAAGATGAAGTAAAAATAAAACTATTACTGAAATTATTTGATGAACAATTTAAGCACTTATACCAACTTTTGAACTTATGCATGTATGTATAACATGTGTATGTACAATATATATATATATATATATATATATATATATATATATATATATATATATATATATATATATATATATATATATATATATATATATATATATATATATATATATATGTATATAGTAGAAAATAAAAGCTACATGATTTTCACAACTTTAAGTTTCATCCTGTTGCAATCATCAGGTGAAATAAAAGTGATGATTGCAACAGCATGAAACTTAAAGTTGTGAAAATCTTTTATTTTCTACTATATATGTTATAGCTCTGACTTAATTCATCGAACACTTTCTTGATAGTATACGCACAAAATAGCATCACTACATATATATATATATATATATCAGTGGTGTACACTCGATTTTTAGATGTTTGAGTTTTGACACTTACAGGCATTGTGCAAACTCCAAACTTTTGTATGTTCATGCTTTTGTCAAATGAGGATGTTTTGCAAAGAATTGTGGTGATTGGAGGTTGGGAACAAAAAAACCCTAATTTTTGGGCCCACCCAACCCTTAATATGGGAGCAACAAGTTTATAAAAAATTTTCTCTTCTATTTTTATCTAAGTTTATGTTTATCAACAAATTTCAAATTTCATGCAATATTTTCTTAGTGTTCAGTTTTTATGACCATATAAAGTTTTAACCCCCCTCAATTTGAGGGGGCTCTAAACTTTGCAGGGTCATAAAAACTAAACACTAAAAGATTATTGCATGAAATTTGAAATTTGTTGATGAATATTGATTTAAACAAAAAAGTATAGAAAATAATTTATAAACTTGTTGCTCCCACATTAAGGGCCGGGTGGGCCCAAAAATTAGGGTTTTTTTGTTCCCAACCTCCAATCACCACAATTCTTTGCAAAACATCCTCATTTGACATAAGCATGAACATACAAAAGTTTGGAGTTTGCACAATGCCTGTAAGTGTCAAAACTCAAACATCTAAAAATCGAGTGTACACCCCTGATATATATATATATATATATATATATATATATATATATATATATATATATATATATATATATATATATATATATATATATATATATATATATATATATATATATATATATATGTATATATATATATATATACATATATATACATATGTATACATATATACACACATGTTATACATTCATGCATAAGTTCAAAAGTTTGTATAAGTTCTTTAATTGTTCATCAAATAATATCAGTAATAGTTTTATATTTACTTCATATTAAGTTAAATATAAACATAAAAATCAGATATTTTTAAATATTAAATTTAAAAAGCTATTAATGTTTTGATAACATTTTAAATGGATTTATCTTCTTTTTCATATTACTTCTTCAAAGTCCGGACAACTGCCTAAATTTGCATTGTTTTAAAACAAGTTTTCTACTAAAAACTAGTTTTGTCATAACTTATATAAGTGTAATGGTAAATAAATGTACAAGTTTATTTAAAAATGTTTGTAAATTTGATTCAAACAGTTATGGCATTACACAAATAACTAAATTCAATTATTGATTGAAGAGTATAAAAATTTTAAGTTGTTATGAACATTTAACAGATTTCTGATCAAAGTAATCATATTACTTAGTAGTTAGGTTTTGAGTATTAATTATTCTAAATCATTTTATTTATAATAATAAATAATTATTATAAATAAAATGATTTGTTTATAAACATTTGAATTAAGATATGTAAAGTTTAAAAAGAATAAAATTTTGATAAGAAAAATTTAAAGGTTAACCATATTACCAATCACAAAATTCTGTATTTTATTAACTCTCTCACTTTATTAACTCTTTCAATTAACTTTCTGTTTACGCTCTAATTCACTTCTATATTAGATATAATTTAATGTAGAATCTAAAAAACATGATACATATTTTTCAATCAAAAAATAGTCTAATGGTCAAATATTTATGTAAATACAAAGATAATATAAGCAAATATTTTATTTTTCTTGTGTGGAATTGGTAAAAATTCAGTGAAAGTTGCTCAAATTTTTGTTTTGAGAAATAAAAGACTTGAACAAAGAGCAATTAATGTAAGAATTGATGTGCATAGATAATGTCCTTGTTCGTACTTTTGGTGTGCATTATCGAAGACACATTTGAAGCCTATTGTTATGGCTTAGAGTTTATTAATAGTATTGAGACAATTGCTTAGACTATTAATAGTGTACTGTATACTATCTGTGCTTTGAGTTAAGTTCTTTAACAAATTTAAAAAAGACTAAAGTACCAAAAACTATAAAACACAAAAAACTGTTGTCAATACTAAGTTCTCTAAATCTATCATTCACTAATATTTGTGGCCTGCAAAGTAACTTTTCTTCTGTTGAGTCTTATCTCTTACAAAGTTCACCAGACCTACTTGCTCTTTGCGAGACTAATTTGAGTTTGGCTATCTCATCTTGTGATCTTAGTGTTGATGGTTTTCTTTCTTTAATTCATAAAGACTCCAATAGTCACATGCTTGACCTGGGGATTTACATTTGTGGGAATTTATCCATTTGTCAGGAAACTAGGTTTGAATCCACAGATTATTCTTTTATATGCTTTCGTTTAGCACCACTTCACTCTATTGCCTTTCTCTTTGTTCTATATCGCTCTCCTTCATCTTAAGACTGCACTTTTATTTTATGCTATTTCTGATCAAATTGACCAAGCCCTTTCTCTTTATTCATCAGCCATTATCGTTGTTATTAGTGACTTTAATGCTCATCACACTGAATGGCTTGTCTCTAATGTCAGTGACTCTGTGGGTATAAAGACTTACAACTTTCTCAATCTCTAAACACAAATAGTCAACTTTCCAACTCGCTTTCCAGACAATCCGATTCATTTACCTTTTCTGCTCAACTTATGTCTTTTTCTGATCCTACACAGTTTGATCTCTCTAAAACAATTATCTCATTCTATTTCATTGTCAGAACTCTCCCTTTCATCCTACTTCCTATTACTAAGTAATACCATGAAGCTGACTTGGAATCTTTCCATGATTTTCTTTGTGATGGCTTTTGGGTAGAAATCTTTTGCCTTCCTGCTGACAAATGTATTTCTTGGATTCAGGTTGGCATGGAATTTTTTATTCCCTCTTAACAATTCCAAGTTGAGCTTCACTCTTCTCCATGGTTTTCTCTCATTGTGCCACTGCAATTTTCAATTGTAACCATTATTTCTATGTCTATTGCCAAAACAATTTTCCAGGAAACAGGCGTCTGGTTTACTACTGCTAGAAACCATTGTAAAAAGGTTTTGTCTAACGCCAAAGCCTTAAATCTTTTATTCCACATCTCTTGTATGGTTCAGATTTTGTCACCTCACCTAAAGACAAAGCTGAATTGTTTGCTAAGAACTTCTCATAAATATCATGTCTTGATTCCACTAGTTGCGTTCTACCTGATATAGCCAACAAACAGGTTAATCGATTGCCTGTCCTTCGTATCACTCCAGCTTAAATAATTAAAGTGATTTTCTGTAGATTCTTCTACAGCTTGTGGTCCAGACAACATATCCAGAGCTGTCGTCTATACTTTCAAAACTATTTAACAAGTGCTTATCAGAGACTTGTTTTCTGTGCTACTGGAAAGTGGCATCTCTTATCCCTATTTTCAAAAATTGTAGAGAGCGATCTGACTTGTCTAACTACCATCCCATTACTATCATAAGCAAGGCTTTTGAGTAGGGTGTGTAATAAATGATGATGTGTTCTATGTAATAAATTAATACTAAATTTAAAAATTTTTTAGGGGTTGCTCAAGACCATTAAACATCAGACGGGTCCCTATTATTTTGAAAAAATATGTTTTTTAAAAGCATTTCATGTTGGATCTCAAAAGAAGTGCAATTTTATAAAAATAATAACTTAATAAAAAAAATTATAGAAACACAAATTCAAAAAGTTTATTTAAAAAAACTATGAAAATATGTAGTTTTTTTTTGTTTGTTAAAAAAAAAAGTTTTTAAGCCATAGAATTTAAACTAGTAATCTTTATATAAAATGATTAACAAATCTCTATCTCTTATCTTGAAACTAATGATTTACTTTCTGATTATCAATATGGATTTCAATCTTCTCTGGACCACTAGTCATAACACAGTTGTTATGACCAGTTAGAGAGCATTTTTTGTTCTTTTTTATCATAAATTTGTTTTCTTAGTCTCTGATACAATTGCTGTGGTAAAAATTTGCCACTTTTAAATATATGGTTTTGTTTTTTTGTTTTCTAGAACAGTAGAGCATAAAAATTATACCAGATTATTTCAAACTTTAACAGAAATTACTGAAAATATTGAAACTTCTCAGTTTCAAATAATAAGGCTCTCTTGCTAAACTTCTATTTATACAGTGTCTGCATACATAAAAAATTTTTCCTTTTGATGTAGGTACACTCAGTGTCAATCCCTATTTAAGTCAGTTAATGTATGTACACTTTGCTGTGCTTGTCCCTATATTACCTGATTTGTCTATCTTCTATAAATGTTGGTGGGCATGAAGGATGCTTAATGCTGGAATAAGATTTTAACAAGAGTGCTTTTTAACTGATAAAGCTGTGGTTTGAAGTTTAGTGACCATAAATATACAAACTTCTTTTACTAACACTGATATGTTTTGATTTTGATTTTATATGATTTTGCTCGTATTATTATCATCACCATGTTATTATGTTTTTGTTTTTGTAATACAATATGCTAGTACGTTGCTATATGCAATATGTGACTAAGTAAGGTCAAAAAAAATACAATTACTGTATAAATTAGATTATAATAAGTATTTAGTGTCAAAGATGTCAGTGTGGCATCTTTTACAAGCACCCACGGTACATGCCATGCACAAACCATGGTTAAGTCAGTGATTTAAGTATAAATTTTATCTTATTAATAGCTTACTAGCATATAAACTGAGCATATAAATGTATTATTTTTTAGTATTTTCATTATTCATGCTTTACAAAAAAGTTTGGTCCTAAGTGTGCCTATTGTTGCTTTCCACTTTTTCTACCAGACAAAGATCATGAACTTTCTGGACAATACCTAGTTTATAAAGATAGAGATTATCATGTTGAATGTTACACAAAGTATGCTGGACCAAGATGTTCTTACTGTTGTAATGTAATTGTTGAAGTACCTGGTGGAGAGTATAGTGGAAAAAGAGTTATCGATGGTCTAAAAGAATATCACGTGGAATGTTACAACAAAAAAGTGTATGCTATTTGGAGAGCAAAAAATTCTTGATTTTGTTATTCCTTTTGTTTTGTTCTGTTTTTGCAGTTTTTAGTAATTTTTTTCTATTGCACTCGATTTGGCATTTTAATTTTTTCGTTTTAAGTTATATTATTTTATATATTAATATAAGTTATATTATATATATTAATATAAGTTTTATTTTATTGTAAAATGTTTTTCTTAAATATATAAAATTTTGATATATTTTTTTTTATTAAAATACAAGATTTCTTTTTTATTAATAATCTCATCAGTAATATGACTTTTATATCTATTTATTCTTTATGTATTTATATATTTTAAATAAAAACATTAAATAAGTTGTTCATCTGATATAATAGATACCGATTTTTTTTTTTAATTTTGTAAAAGATAATTTTATCAAATACAATTGTCACGCGAGTAAACACGGATCGCGGCATCTTTTTTGATGTTTAAGATTAAGACTTGTTTGATTTATTCATTTGAGCTCGGAAACTTACGTGGAAACTTTATTTTATAACTTTCGAAAAATGAAATATAATATCAAATTTGTAAATGAAAATAAATTTAGCTTAAAATATATAATAATAAATTTAACTTAAAATATATAATAATAAATTTAGCTTAAAATATATAATAATAAATTTAGCTTAAAATATATAATAATAAATTTAGCTTAAAGTATATAATAATAAATTTAGCTTAAATATATAAAATAGCAATAGTATGTAGCGTGATAATACTCAAGTTTAAACTTTGCTATGTCAGAAAGTTACCTTAAACACCAAATAAAAGATGCTGCAAAAGGTGTTTTGTAAGATGTTTTTAATAAATTAAATAAATATTACTTTAAAATTTATTATTTGTAAAATAATGTTTTTAATAAATCGAATAGTTTTACAGGCCGTTTGTTTCATTTCTTATTTATGTTAGTTTTTATTTCAAAAATATAAGAATAAAGTATAGTATATAGAGTGAACTGGGGTACGAGTTAATAATGAAAATATGTATACGAAAATATGTAGTACGTTTTATGAAGATCAACGCGCTTCGAGCAACGTTTTCGAGATTAAACCTACTTTTTCTGGAAAAAAAATATTTTTTTTCAGAAAAAGTAGAAGGGTTAGTTACTTGGTATTTAAAAAAGTCGTCTGTCTCCAATTAAAAGCATACGAAAGCTGTATCAAAGTTTTACAAACGACGCACAGTGACTCAGGACAATCAAAAAACGGCAAAAATTAAATAAAAATTGACATAAATCGTAAATAAGTAATGTTATATATTAAAATAATGATTTTTAAGTCAAAGATTTCAAATTTGTTAATTTTTTTTTAACGCGCAGCTTCGACGCGTAAAATGCGCGCTTACGCGTGTTAAAGGTGACAAAAATTTTTTTTTTTTGCCGATAAAAAAAAATTTACAGTCGTAACTTATGAAGAAAATAATTACATGACCGGGGCTAGAAGAAGACTTCAAAAATCTTCAAGACAAACACATAATTTTGATATATTACTCTACTTGATATTTTAATAAAAATGGTTTTTAAAGGATGTTGATACATAGAGAAAAAATACTGTATTTTTTTACATTAAATTTATTATTTACATTACAATTAATTTAAAAACTTCATCTGGTAACGGTTTTCCTCGATAGCTCTTATGTTTTCTAAAAGAAATGCTTGATATTTTTGGATCTGATCTTACTAGAAGGTAGTGCATCTGATTCATCATTGTGTATTTGATATTTTTGCCGTGTGCTTAAGTCTAGAATTTCTTATCTGTTTATTTAAACTCTCGAGTGCATCTTACGAATATACCCCGATTGACAAAGATAATTTATTTGATATAGAAGAACTATGAAGTAGCAGTTTATGTACAGTAGGAGGCATAATACGTTTAGCTGTTTCAGTACAGTATAAATCTAATTTATTGATATTAATAGGATATCCATAAGATATGGTTATGAGAAATATTATGCAATCTTTTAATTATATCACAATCAACTTTAGTAATTTCAGAAAAAACTTCACTATTTTTAAATGCTCTTCTGGCAGTGTTGCCGTCATTCGTGTTTCCTGACCCAGTTTTAGGCATATCAACGTATAGGCTAAACCGTTCTCTGAAGAGTACCTAAATCTCTTCTTTTTTTTAAGTCTATAGATAGTTTTTCCTCAATTGTTTTTGGCTTATACTTTTTAATTTCAATTTTATAACTCAAATGAAGAATCAACTCCAAGCATTTTATCCAGCAATGCAAAGCTGAAATTCCGAGCCCCAAGGCCGAGTCATTCTCAGTTTTTGCTTTTAATAAATCAATATTGTTCATTTCCTTGGGTTTAGCATTGCACACATTGCAGGATTGAGTTGATTTTGTCTCTGTAAGTGCGCTAACTACTTTATTATCAAACATTGTAAGATCAATCCTATAGCTGATATTAAAACTTTGCAAAACGTCTTTAAGGTATTTATTTGATTTTTTAGATCTGATTCTTCTTCTCTGGATAAAATTGGACTCTCTTTTTTATATTGTAGATGAAGAGGTCTACAAAAGTGAAGGATTTTTATTTTTCCAAATTTCGCTATCTTCTACTTTGAGCAATAAAGGCACAAAAGCTGTACTGGAAAGATTTTCTTCATGCTTAAGTTCTATACTTGCGTTGCTTGTATCGTATTTCTGTTTATAAATACTTTGGCTTGATGCTCCATCAAAACTAATCTTTCCATATAAAACTCCAAATATTTCATCACTTTGACCAAAATTAGGCATATAAATCATTTCTGTTATTCTACTCACAGTATGATCTAACATGCTTTGAAGAGTACACTTTGCAGAAATTTTAGAAAAATATATATTCTCAGGATAGCATTTTAGTTTTTCCACGAAAAAATCGTGCAAGGTAGAATAAATATGTACGTTGCATATACGTTGTGTGTACAAGTGCTGAGTTTCTGATCATTTGATATTGTTTATCGCTGAGATCAGTATTCATTTTTAATGCAAGAGCATCCTCTACACTCATGTTAATGGGAAAAGTTTTAATCAAAGTTTTATCAACTTTTTCTATCTCTAAAACATTAGATATATTGTTTTTTAAAACTGAGGTTTTTCTCCAGCAGCATTTGCATTTTTTGCAGAAGCTAAAAGTAGAGCTTTTTGATGTTCAGTGGCTAGTTCTTTTATTTTTTTTTCTTTTGCTTCTCTCTCCAAGAACACTCCATTGTTTATGGGCCTTCCAGAACCAAAATGGCTATTTTTATTGTTCATAAGATTTCTTTGAAGCCAACGATTTTCTTTTTGTATAAATGTATCATAGTTTCGCCCACATTGTTTTAGTTTTTTCTTCACCTTTGAAATAAATATAACTAAAGCAAGCTTAACTTTATTTAAGTTTTCTTTGCGAATTTTTTCAGTATTTTTTATTTCATTAAGTAAATCCTTCCATAATTTTAATTTATCAACTCCTAAATCACGTATATTTGGGATAAGATCTAATCTTTTCATTGTTATCGTTTTTAAGAACCATCAATATAATAAAACTAATATATTAGGCACATTCAAGGCCGGCGCGATAGGGGTGTGTGGGGATGTAACCCCCCCCCCCCCATCAATGACTTTTAGTCGGCAAATTTGACCCTTAGTCGGCAAATGTAGACCCTGTCGATAAGTTAGTCGGCAAATGTCGTTATGGCAGTCGGTAAATTTTAAAAAACGAGGACCTTTTTTTTTTTTTTTCAGACGGCAAAAGTTGTAATGGCACCCCCCCCCCCCCCCACGTGACCCCTACTCGCGCCGGCCCTGATTACATTACATATTTTTTTACTTTACACTGTTTCAAATTTTATCTTGTTATGACTTTTAACAATTTTCACATTGTTACATCCTGTAATAATATTACTTAGTTAACTTTATATTACATGTAATATAAAGTTAACTAAGTAATATGTGTTATTACAGGATGTAACAATTTAGTATTTCTTGAAACGGGAAATACCAAAGTTGTTCAATTAAGCTTTTTCAAACATGTTGTACTTATCGAATAATAAATCGTTCTTTAAAATTGTCAATAAATATTTTAACAAACTTTTAAATAGTATATAATGACAAAAGCACGTTTTTTAAAACTATATTTAATATTTATGATTTAAAAACTATATTAGAACAAGTTCTACAAGCAAGAAACTTAACTTTAAGTTTCCCGCCAATTTCATTTGTTTTGATATAATAAAGTTCTTAGCAAAATGGCGGAAAACAAGGTTTTTATAAAATCATCAACATTTGTTTTTCTTTAATAACTTCCAATACCGCAGGAGACCGCATTAATCCTTTTACATTCTTAAAGTAAAAATGTTAATTAACTGGAAAATATATATATATATATATATATATATATATATATATATATATATATATATATATATATATATATATATATATATATATATATATATATATATATATATATATATATATATATATATATATATATATATATATATATATATATATATATATATATATATATTTGTGGAACTCGGTGGAACATTTTTTTAGCTGACATTCTTGCGGCGAAAAAACCACGTGATCATTGCGTAATGAAAAACAAAAATATCTACCATTATGATATGGGGCAAACAAACGCGCTGATTTCAGTACATTACTTAAACGCCTTGAAAATGTCTTATGATTATCAAGAAAAGTTATCTAAATAAGCTGCTGAACGTTAACAGAACAAAATTTAGCGTTATATTGAAATAAATCTGTGCAAATGCTTTAAGGAATCATGGAATTCAATTAATTCATCATTTTGAAATTATTGCCAGTTTACAGATGTAGTCAATAAAGAAAACAAAAATATTACATATTGATATTCTAATAGCATTTAAAAATTCTATATTTTGCTTAAAATTTTCCTCAGTGTAATATTTATTCCTCATGTTTTTAATATATGTGAAATAAATGTTATAAATAAAAAATATTTTTTACAGTATAATAATGAAATGATCAAAATTACTAATTACAACAATTTGAATTATAA